AGCTGCTTTAACTCATCTTTAAACACCCCTTTCATATTTCCTTTCAGAGCTACCACGAGGAAGCGGCTGGTGTTCCTATGCCGAGTAGAAGTGGAAGTCAGCTTCTCAGCTTTGTTCTCTAATGTCTTGGTGGTGTTTGCCACTGTAAAGACACCAGGCCCCCGAACCCAGGACTGCACCGTCACTCTGAGTAGCATGCCTGTAAATATTTATTTTTACTTAAAACTATCTGAAATCCTGTCAAGTTTTATTGTCATCCATATAGGACCCACAATAGATGTATACAGTGGCATTCTTGTACAAAAGCATTTTCATTTTTGATAAAGACACACACAAAACACACTATAGGTAAAAGCAAAATGGACAGCATACAGAAATATCACCTTTCCAATAGTACATAACTGCCTTCAGTTTTTTGACTATGTCACTCAAGTCTGACTTTTTTTGTAAGAGTCACCAAAGTCAACATTGCGTTTAAAAACTGCAAGTTGTATCTACATCATAAATTCCACGTTACTCACCCTAGAAAACTGACAGTTTCCATTAGCCAGCAGGAATTTCTCACTGATGACCATTCACCCCCATGTTTCACGTCTGAGGAAGTTCTGTCCATATATAGACTTCCAGCTTGCTGTAACCACAAAGACAAGCAGGAAGTTGTAATAGAAATGTGCTCTTTGCTGCACTTCTCTTTTGTGCACGTTTCCACTACTGAATCTAGGACCATACTGACATCTAGTGGCTGATTATCAGTGTTCTAGCAGTGAGTCAGTTCTAGGCCAGTGTGAATGCAGGGAATGTTTTTTGAGAGTCAACTTATACTTGTTTTCATATAGTTGGTTAAAAATCATGATGATGCTGACAAATCTTTTTATTCTGTGTATCCTTAGCCAATGGAAGACATATTTTCCGGCCCCGGCAGGTCAGAGGAGATGGACTCTCTACTATTTAATAAAACTGATAACCCAGACTGTACTCTGCGACTTTGTGCTCTTCAAAAGCTTACGGTATGCGGTGTATAATTCAAATAAAAAAACTTAAGTAATGCATAACTAATGCATAACTCATGATGATTTAATGCATACATGTGTGAAAAATATATCCTGAATTCCTGTCGCTCACCATGAAATAATAGTGAAGTCACTGTGGATTTATGTAATTACTTCACACCTAGTTCAACATTAATAATGTCTGAAAAGGATAGATACGTATGATACGTTTTTTTGCAATAAATAAGCATTAGTTCAGCATTATTTAGCCTAAGTAAGTACAATGATATGTGTCCTGATTCTTCTTAAGTGTTACTTAAAAACAAAACCATTCTAGTCTTTACAAGAAAGTATGTACAATAAATGTGACAATATTTTTTTAATCATTTTTTAGGAATCGCTGGTCATCAAGGTGGATCTACACTATACTCACATGGACAGTAAGCTGCGCCAGACAGAAAGCCAACAGATGGACATAGGAAAGCCTCTAATGGCATCCTGTAAACTGTACAGGAGGAATCATGCATCAACAGCCAAGAAACAAGAAGGTGCTCCTGCTCAAAGTATGGGCAACATTTCAAGCAGCAAACCACCACTGCAACAGACTCCGGCTGGTCCATGTCGTCCTTTCACCAGAAAGGCAGTGTGTGCTGCTAAAGTTGCATTTCCAAGGAGCAACGAACCTGAAGAGAACGATGAAAATGAACTGCAAAACTTCACTCTTCGACATTAGACATGTACCAGTACCTATTATTGTAAATACTAGTTTGAAAACTCACTGAGGTGATTAGTAATCACTGTGTTGCTGATTTTTATTTATTTTTTTGTCTGTGGTTGGTGATGATGATGAGTGCGTGAATGACTTTGTGTTCTGTTTGCGTTACCAGCCTTCAATTCTTAGCTCAACACTGTAGAAACATTAACACTTACTTTTGCTAACCAGTGATTTCATTATCAATTGTACAATACTTTAAAATGTTACTGTTCATCAGTGGCAAACTGGCTAGCCTAATTTATCTATTAAAGACCATTACTATTAATAATTTATGTAATAAAGACTACTTTAATCACTATTTTGATTGTCACTCTTTTGAAACATTACATAATACTCTGAACAAAGTTTTTCCCCCATTCATCATGAGCTGAATTTAAAGACTAAGACTTTTTCTATGTACACAAAAGGCCTATTTCTCTCAAATATTGTTCACAAATCTGTCAAAATCTGTTAGTAAGCACTTCTCCTTTGCCGAGATAATCCATCCACCTCACAGGTGTGGCATATCAAGATCCAACTGGTCTCACAACCGCAGACCACGTGTAACCACACCAGCCCAGGACCTCCACATCCAGCAACTTCACCGCCAAGATTGACTGAACCAGCCACCTGGACAGCTGCTGCAACAATCAATTTGCATGATCAAAGAATTTCTGCACAAACTATCAAGAAGCATCTCAGGAAAGCTCATCTGCATGCTTGTCGACCTCATCGGGGTCTCGACTTGACTGCAACTTTGCACAGCCATTGAAGAGGACGGGTAATGATGGCGCAGTGGATAAGACGCCTACCTTTGCTGTGGTGAATTCTCCACTGTGACACATCTACCATCGTGTCCCTGAGTAAGACACTTAACCTGTAGTTGCTCCAGAGGTGTGCGACCTCTGACATAATTAGCAATTGTAAGTTGCTTTCGATAAAAGCCTCAGCTAAGTGAATAAATGTAAGTGTAAGGAGAAGTGGACCAACATTCACAGGCCACAACAACCTGATCAACTCTATGCGAAGGAGATGTGTTGCACTGCGTGAGGCAAATGGTGGTCACACTAGATACTGACTGGTTTCCGGACCGCCCCGCACCTCCCAATACACATTTTCGATTGGCTTTTTATTATGGCCAGCCTAAGGAACATCTGTGCAATACCCATGTTGTCTGATCAGCATGTTGATACGCCACACCTCGGCAAAGGAGAAGTGCTCACTAAAACAGATTTTGACAGATTTGTGAATAATATTTGAGAGAAATAGGCCTTTTGTGTACATAGAGAAAGTCTTTCAATAAAGTCAAAAACAAATGTTTTGCGTTTGTTCAGTGTAGTTTAAATGAATTAACGTTACAACGTTTGTAATTGAATAGACTTAATGTGAAGGAACAATTATGGTGAATGCTGGTTTGTTTTAAAACTTGACCGAGACAATATGTAAACAAATACGTGTATGCTACCTTTGACCACATTGCATGACTAAGTTAAAGACTTATTTTGTTACCCTCAATATGTAAGGTTACTCACAAAAATGTTAAGAAACCATGTTAAGATTAGTTATTGTAAGTAAGCCAACGGGAAATATGTTATTTTCCATTTAGGGGTTCAGTGTAGTCTTAAGAGTAAAAGAATAATCATAAAAGAATATAACAATTGAGTAAATTTAACGTAACTTCGCCAAGGTAAGTTAACGTTAACTTAGCATAACGTTAGCGTTAATTTGACACAGCTATTTTAATTAACATTAAACAGCATGGACCTAGCATCTTACAAAGCTAGCATTATGTATTTATTTTTTTTTTTTTTACACTTCACTAGCTTAGACAATGTCCACTTCTTTAGCAAGTGGACATAACGTTACTCCATATAGCAATGTTGGTCCACGCGTGTCGTTAAGGGGTTAGTGCTGCTAGTCAAACTTTAGTTAACGTTAAACTAGCTGCCGTTACATCTGTAAACGTTGTCATTCTAGCTTCATTTAGTCACTGTGGCCCCAAACGATGCATTGGCAATTTATTTACAAGCTAAATGGAGTTCATTACGACATTTACTGTAATAGCTCTTATAGGCATAATTTCCACCCGCTACACCAGCTCCCGATAGCTCGCCGTGATCGTATAGTGGTTAGTACTCTGCGTTGTGGCCGCAGCAACCCCGGTTCGAATCCGGGTCACGGCAAGGAACCGTACAGGAGCATGCATTTTGGATTTTAGTTATTTAATGTCACAATCCAATCTTGCCAACGCCGACACACAAGAACACTTATATATTGTGAAATGTGGTATTCTGTATTAGAAACCTTGGGTTGCATTGTCGGACTCCCGAAACATAAATAGCGGTCTCCCTTTGTAAATACTTGGAAAAAGATTACATTTAGATGAGTTTTATTACGTAGGGAATTGTTTGAACGTTAGAGACTGAAGTGAACAGTGAAATATAGTTATAACCATCAGAGGGGTTAAAGCGCACTAACGAGGACTGGCCTGCAGGTGGCAGTCGAATACATAATATTCACTATGACAGGAAGAGTTTTATTATAGTCCGTATAAAACATGCCTTGTCCCCCTTTTCAGGCTGGAGTATAGGTCTACCTCAAGTTGGACAAAACTCCTTACAATTTTACAAACTCATTTAGGGTGCTGTGACACCAGAGGCCATTGGACGGAAGACTGAGGTGGTTTTGGTTCCTTTGCAAAGAATTGCCATGAGAGCAGGTTAGTCAACCCTACAAGATACATTGAATGGTATGTATGTGTAATATTCTATTCAGGTAAGCTATATTGCATCTGGAGCTTGTCATAGTGATAGGTGATATTTGATTTAGCCAACTATTTATTCTTAATCACGCTCCTAATTATTATTTAAGACATCTCAGCCAAAAGAAGCCAATGGCCTGAGTTTTCTGGATCTATGCTTTTTGTCACCACAGCTTTTGGTTAAAACAATTAGTTAGGACACGGCTGTCATCACCCAGTAGGCTAATTTTGTAATATTAACCCTATAGCCTACTTAATAATAAGTATCCTATATGGCTGATATTTCACAAACAGCCATTTTTAGAATTTTCCGGGCATGGATAGCCGCAATTTTTCATGTGTCAGGACAAATTGCGGCGTGAGAAAAACAATGTTGGGTATTAAAGCGCAGAGAAAATGCCATACACTCCCGTTGGTTCACTTTGACGTCAGTTTTCATTGGGACCCGCCCGCTCGCTCAAGTGGCAGCGGTGGATTGTGAGAGATAATCCTCGGCTCTCCCACAGACACACAACGGGGCCGAGAGCTGCCTCTGGATCTGGAAGCGGGCATCCTTGGATTCTGCTCTTAGCACGGGCCCACCGCACGAAAACTTAACGGGACGACAATGGTGCACGCCTCGGCGGCTGAATCCGTGGCTCCTGGTGGTTTAGGGGACCGGGAATTGTGGTCATTGTGACATTCACTTGCACGCTGGTGTTGAGTTTATTGTTCTGGTCCTAGACGCAGAGCAGCGATTCTCCGAGAAGATGTTGAGCCGATTTATGAGTGGCAGCATCAGGAATCTTGAGCGGGAATACAGCTGCACCGTCAGACTGCTGGATGATACGGAATATACGTGCACCATTCAGGTTAGTCACCTGTCGACCACAGTTTTATTCACTCTAGCACTGAATATCGCGGCAATTGTGTCTGACCTGGCAGACAGAAAAGCGACTGTTTGAGCAGAGGGACTGCAAGTGCCTGCCTGCACGTCCCGCTGCTGGTGTCTACCAGGAGGAATTACAGATCCTGAAGAGAATCATGTGGACTTATTTTTTTGTAATTTCAAATAACATAAGGCTGATTCATGGGAATGTATTTCCCTCACAGGACCCACGGATGCCAGAATAAATGAGTGAATTGGTGGCAGGTTTTGAGATGACAGGGAGCTCTGTAGGACAGACATGGCATTTCCCTATTTTCCCCAAGCTCAGGCTGATGGCATGTCAAAAGCATTTGACACTCTTTTACACTTAAAGGGCATGTTGGCAGGATTATTTTGTGTCAGTTTGTCTCTAAGCTTGAGGCAGTACTGCTTGCCAAATTATTGCCTGCTGGTTCATCTTTTAGTGTTGTTGCTCATGCAGTTTCACTTGAACCTCTGACATCAATAATGCACTTGTCACGGGCTAACCCATTGCTGCTCTGTAGAACATGCCTACTAAGTTTAACAATGTGGCTCTCGTAGATCTACACAGGTAGAAACATAGCTGAAATGTGCTGTGTGATGTTGATGCAGGGTTGAACGTAGTCATTCAGTGAACACAGCAACCATATGTGCATAATGTGTGGCATTTTCTTCCATGAAAATGGTCATTTACCACAGTGAGACATATTGCTTGTCAGTATATTAAAAGTCATATTAAATTATCTTTCTCCACCTTTTGTCTCACCACTACAAGCATTGCTTTGATGGTTGCGCAGTTTCATGTTCATGCTGATTTCTTAAAAAGAATGTGAGAGGGCCTGTCACATCAATTACAGCATTGTTCCCTTTGTGGATGCTGTACAGTTGTAGGAAAGGGCTGTAAGGAAATCCTTAAGAATTCTTTGACTAGTCAGTAACAATTCGACAAATTGAAGCTGCTCCATTACATAGCCTACCAAGGAAACGTTTAACCTGCAACGTGAAACAATGAAACATTAATAAAACGAGTGCGATTCTTGTCACTTTGATATCTGTTATCACCCGCAGGCTGTATTGCAATCGCTCCTCTTTCTCCCACGAGCTAGCGTGAAATAGATACTGCAATTACTTTAGGTTCGTGACTGTGTGCCCAGGTTGTAAACAAACCTGCATTTCTGCTTGGAGAGCTGAGCCAGAAATGGAGTTGGGCCAGATGGACTGTGAAGCCAGCAGGTGTGCTGTTTGCAGCAGAGTCGTGTGGCCTGGGTGGCTGACGTCAGCAGGCTGGAGGGAAGGGAGTGGAGTGAAAGAGGAGAATGCTCCGGCTCTGCTGTGACTGTCTGGCATCCTGACTATCTTTCTGTCTAACTTGGCCCTGAGGGAGCAGGCATAGTCCACCTGACTAGCCACACAGCTGGAGCATGTTTTTTATTTAGTTCAAACTTTGCCCTTCCTTCCGCTCAGGCTTCTGGCCTGCCACAAACCAAACTCACCCAGGATACCAGGACACCTAGACTAGGGAATGCAAAGTAAGAGGCATAACTAGGTCATATATTCTCAGTCTCTAGTCTCTCCTCTCTCTACTTCTTTATGTGTTTCTGGCTTTCTGTCTCCCCCTCTTTGTCTTTATCACCTTCCTATCCTGTTTACAGTGTGCTGAGATTTTAATCCCACTAGTTTCCATTATACTCTCATCCTTTCCCTAAAGGGTTTATTGGCTCCAAATTCAGATTTGCCCCTGACTTACATCAGGCGTCAACATCTTAAATGACAGGGACATTTCCATGGTGTCTGCGTTAATAAAGCCACCTTCTGCAGAAACATCCTCAACAGAAATGAGAGAGACAAAATATTCATGCAGTACAGCTGAGCTTTGAGGGCTTTCAGTGGAATGGCAGAAAATGTGGCAGCTGTAATGCATGAACTTAAGTTTTGCATTAATGAATTATGGATCTTTCCATTATGTTTGGGGGAGGAAAAAAAAGTGAGCACTCATCATTACACAGCCCTGTAGATTTAGCTCTCATCTAGTTGCAGGTTGATGGAAGTGCCTGGAATCCTCTGTTGTCGTCAGGCCTCTTCTGCTCTCTGATTTTAATGCAGTCTTGCAGCAGAGAGAGAGTCAGCAGTACCCCTCACTTTTGTCTAATTTACATTTACATGTCTGAGTAACAGATAAATCACATGTAAAGAATATACTATATAAGACCAAGTGGATTCACCCTCTATAAATGCAGCATACACTCTCATTTGTCAGATGCATTATTGACAAGTCTTAAGACATCTAAATGCAGGTTCTGTCTACCAGCTCGACATATAATGAAGTTTCAAATATGCCACTCTTGCACAGTTGCCAACATTTTTCCCAGATCTCCATTATTAAAGTGTCTGTATGTCTGTTGTCACAGTAAAGCAATTTAAAAAAGGTATTGTGAATTTTGTGTGGGGAGAGGAGGCACAAAGAGAGTAAGAAAGACAGTCTCTACAGACATGGGGAAACTATTGTTTGTCTCTGAAAGGATTGTTCAGCTTTTTGAGGAGCCTTTTTTATAGAAAGAGTTGGGTATGTTTAAGCTCCCTTCCACCCAAGCCCTGTTGTTTCAAAAGATTTGCATTTTTTGCCAATTATTATTTCTTCAAATGCCTGCATTTAAAAAGTGTGATGATGTAAGACATACACTGGACTTTTTTTCTCCTCCACTGATGTAAATCAGTTTCGCATGCAGAAAACCTCCACTGTTTTGTGGTTATTAATTAATTACGGATTTATTGAATGGCTTTCAGCACAGTGATCTGGCCCACTCTAATCCAGATACAGAGTTAATTACAGCTTGCACCCTGTGAAACCTGTGATTTCCCTTGGTTTTATAATAACAGTTTTGTTTGAGGAAACCACAACCGCCAGCTTTGAGGGCAGCGTAACTTGTGTCAACCCAAAATTAAAACTGTAGTACTGCTGCTGTGACCAAAAGCAATGCTGTTTAAGTTCTCCTGAGGTCTGCTGACATCTTGGTGTGTGTGTGTGTGTGTGTGTGTGTGTGTGTGTGTGTGTGTGTATTGAGGGGTGCCAGGGTCTCAGCTGTTGCTACGGCGACTCCACAGTTACTCGAACAAAATGTGAGATCACTCACTGGTCAGGATTGCCCTTCCAAAAGCCCTGACAAAGACTTGGCCGTTAGCGCTCACGGGAAGGTAATTTATTCCATGAATGCCATCGGAGGGCACTAGCGGTGAGGTGACTGATGCCATGCCCACACCAACCAGGACCCTCTTGGGATTGTCCCACTGTGCCCTTGACACACATTCAGTCTCGTAGTTCCTGTGATGTCATTATTATTATCATAGAAAAATGCGCTTGTTGTTAAAGCTCACATGAAGGGCTAGATGTGTTTTTTTTTGTTTTGGTACTAAAAGGCTTTTTTCCGCAGAGGACATTTTGATACATTTTGTCAAAGTAGGAAAAGCACAGGTGTAAATAAATTAATGACTGCTGAATTCCATTTTAGCTGATTCACTTTTAGGGCTGCTGGTGTTGTGCATGCTGGCTTACTGGGACACACTAGCAGAGTAATTAGTGTTATTAGTAACACCTGTGCTTTTCCTGCTGTTACAGGTTAAAATGTCTGTTGTAAAAAAGGCCTATAACAAAAAGTTGAAAAGTATAAGATATAAGCAAAAGCCCTTCTTATCATTCAAGAAAAAAAAACCGCAAATGTTGTCAATAACTTAAATAAAATTGTCTAGAATTTGTGAAATAATGATTTAAATCAGGGACTATGTGATCAAAGAATAAGTAAATAAAATTACTAATCTGACCAGACTTTCAATGGCAGTTTTTGGTACTTTTGGACAGTTTTCAATACCAAAAAATTATTAAGGTTTGATGCTCAGCTCTTACTGCAATTGATTTTCATTGTTTTTGTTTTCAGTGACTTGCTTTTGCTTTGTCATTACAGAATGCATCAATGTATTTGAGTGTATTCATGTTTTGAAATTTTATTTTGACAAGAAATTTTAAAGTCGGTGACTGTAGCTAGCTCAGAGCAAAGGTTTTTTAATATATAGTTATTACAGTTTCAGCTGCAGCGTCCAGTGTGACACTTCAGTGATCCCTGGTGACTGCAGGTCTTTGCTGACTTAACACTGTTAGGACCTTCAGAAGTGTCAGGTCCACTAGGCATACAGTACGTCAGCCAGGGTTTAAAGAGTGCATACTTATGTGTGTGCAGGTGTGTGTGTGTGTTCGGAGCTCATGGTGGCTGACACACTGTTGCTATGCTTCATATGAATGATTAAAATGTGTGCTAGGTCTGAATGTTTCATGAGCGGTAACCTCAGGAGAACATCACTTGTGTTTACCAGCATCACTGCACACCAGCATCACGATTGGCTGAACCTGTGGCACATGGCTGGTTACAATTAAGGATTAGCTCAGTGTAGTGTAATCTACACAGCAGAGGAGGGCAGGACAACCCCGGCTTGCAGCCCTCTCCAATCTCTTTCATGGAGATTTGATATGTGGGAGCAGCCACTTGCCAGATGTAGGTTATCAGTCATGTCTTGTTGTTAGTGACAGGGCTGGTGCATCTGGTCAAGGATGCAAAGGGCTGCTGCTCTGTTGCTGCCTTTGGATGTGGACTTTCATCTTCACCCTAGTGTTTCATTGCTGTCTCACACACAGCTCTGACAGTCCAGCGGGATATTACGGGGAAATTAAACTTTGCCTAACCTGCATTGACTTACTGGGATTTATAACAGAGCTTAGCTGGAGAAGACATGGCAAATGACTCTTTAGTTCCGCACTCGTTGAAACACGAGCTCACACAGATTAACACTTTCGTCTCTCAGAAGGTTTCGTCTGCTCCCTCAAATTAGTTGTATCAGGATGCTGAGGCTGCTAAATGTGGGTGCAGAGCTTGTTTGGGTTTGTCTCACCAAATGGCCCTCTTACATCCGTGAGTG